ATTTATTCATTATAGAGTTGTTCATCTTGTTTATAGTCTTTTTGTGATCTTATGCTCAGTAATGCTCCTATTAAACTATATGAAGTTGTAATTGGCTTGTGGGGTAATTGTATTTTGCCAATAAAGTTTTTTAGTGAGAATAAATCTGTTCTGACATTCTTTTTCTTTGAACAAATGGGAGGTTTTATTAAAGCAGGAATACTCTGTTCTGTGAGTCGCTCAATGATCCGTGTGTCAGCCTGACTCAGTTGGAAGCATTCCCACCTGGGAGTCAGACAGTTGTAGGTTCCAGAAGGTAGGTTCACATCGGGACTTTTTGCTAGATGGAGCTCTGCATTTTTGTGTCCTCTGGATAGGACATTAAAAACGAGATTCAAATGCAAATGGTTTTGTAATGTTGCCCTCTAGTGTTGAATAGACATCATCGCTTTACTTGGGAATTGGGAGCAAAGGGTAAATTTGATTCTTGCCATTGCTCAAGGCACTGATATATTGGTCGATGCTCCAAATATTTTTCAATAATAGATCACACCACTTTGTATATCTGGTACTATGTGTCAGCCTAGCTTATTTGGAATCCCTCTCATCTCAGATTCAGAGGGTTGTGGGTTCAAGCCACATGTCAGGACTTTGACCTCACAGTCTAGGTTGACACTCCAGTGCAGTGCTGGTGGAGTGCCGTATTGTCAGAGGCACCATCCTTCAGGTGAGATGTTAAATCGAGGTCCCTTCTGCCTGTTCAGGGGGACGTTAAAGATCCCGTGGCACTATTTGAAAAGAGAAGGGAGTTTCTCCCGGTGTCCTGGCCAACAACCTCCCAGATAAAATTGATCATTCGTTTCATGGCAATTTGCGGGACGTTGCTGTGTGCAAATTTTCTGCCGTGTTTCGCCAACAAAATACACAGTCACTTCACTTTACAGTATATTCTATGAGGTATTTTGAGACGTCTCATCTCCCAACCCGGTCGCTGGGAGAAACAGTCACTACACTTTACATTGAGGGCCGTAAAGAAACATCCCCTGTGGATGGGAAAGGGTCAAAATGATAGTGTACAATTTCTCAGTGAATTCTTTTATGTGTTTGAGAGATATAGTCTGACAGCTTTCAACCACAGCAACAACAACTTGGATTTATATAGCGCCCTCCATGCCAGACGGCGTCTCAGAGCGCTTCACAGTAACAGATCCCGGGTCCCAGCTTTCAATGGCTTTTGCAGCTCAGCCTAATCAATAAAGTGTTTGAGCAGAAACTAAATTACCTTCAGGCACCAGCCAGTTTCAGTTACAGAAATAAATTAACCAGGGCTGTAAATCAAACTTATTTCTTTCGCCTCTCGATATCAGTGATCTCAATACCAGTCACTACACTTTACAGTAAGTCCTGTAAAGCGCTATATCATATGCAAGGAATACTGTTACAATAATAATAATAATGATCCTTGCATTTGATATACCGCCTTATCAAGTCGTTGAGATGTCTCAAAGTGTTTCACAGAATATATTGTAAAGTGGTTGACTATGTATTTTATAATAATAATAATAATAATAATCTTTGCATTTGATATAGCGCTTTTCACGTCGGGAGGACATCCCAAAGCGCTTCACAGAACACACTGTAAAGTGAATTGACTGTATTTTGTGGGCAAATGCGGCAGCCAATTGTGCACAGCAATGTCCCACAAACAGTCGTAGATTGAAAATGACCAATTTATTATTGTTTTTTGTTTTGGAGGGATTATTATTAGGCGTGTGGAGTAAGGAAACTTGCCCAAGGTTTCGCCCTGCCTGGAATTGAACTCAGGTCTCTCGCTTGCAAAGCGAGTGCTCTAACCACTGAGCTACAGGACTCCGCTATAGGCAAATCGCAGTAGCCAATTGTGCACAGCAATGTCCTACAGTAGTGGATTGAGTGATTACATATTCTAAAGATCATTTTGGAGGGATTATTACCCTGGAAAGTGATCCACCAATCAACTAACAACCAGGTTCCTACATATTGCTAGATAAACAGAGGAGTGTGGAGGAAGGAAACTTGCCTAAGGTTTCGCCCAGCATGAGAACCGAACCCGGGTCCTGTCGCTTGTGAGGCAAGCACACTACACTACAGGACTCCACAATAAACCAATGAGTTGGAGTGAATGCTGAAGCAATAGGACATATGACCAGTACATACCAGCTTGATCTGCATGGAAGAAAAGGCTCTGGCAGTTGGAGAACTTCACATCAGCTGGTTGATTATCACAGATATTGTTAGATTTGCCCACCATTGTTCATAGTGTGGCTCTCCTGCCAAATTAAGAACAAGAGGTGGGGATAATAATGCAATTGATATAGTATCATTTCATGTTGTTGAGACATCTCAAGAATACACTGTAAAGTGGAGTGACTGTGTATTTTGTGGCCGAAATGCGGCAGCTAGTTTGTGCGCAGCAAAGTCCACAAACAGCCATGGACTGAGTGATCAATTTGATTTGGAGTATTTTTGGCCAGGACACCAGGAGAGAGAAACTCCTTTCTCTTTTCGAATACTGCCATTGGGATCGTTAACATCCACTTGAACAGGCAGATGTGACCTTGGTTTAACGTCTATAGCAATACAAGCACCCCAGCATTGTACTGTCATTTCAGACTATGTGATTCCAAGTCCCGGTGTTGGGCTTAACCCACAAGTTTCTGACTCAGAGGCGAGAGTGCTACCACTCAGCCAGACTGGCACACAGATGAAGCCAAGAACTGAGATTCCAACAGCTGAAAACTTTCCACGAATCTGCAACCATCTTTAAGCAAATATCTGTCTCAGAATTTGGAAGAAGTTAAACAGTTGTCGTGTTTGGAGTCCTGGCCAGACGTGAAAGTGTGCACATATTGGACTGCGGATAGTCTGTAAAGGTAACTTATTCTTTGGCAGGCCGGGGTCTGAATGAGATCACTCTCCTATAGCTATCGCAACACTTCATCTTTTTTATCCGCCCTGCTCTTTGGTGCCAGTTTGTGATAGGTCACATAATCCCATCCTGCTCAGGGAATATTTTAGCAGATCCTGAAGGACAGAAAGATGGACAGAAACACTGGGGGAAACATTTATTGATATCCAGTGAGGCAGTGGATCCAAAATAAAAATGCCATTTGTGTTGGTTGATGAAGGGCCAAGGAAATGGAACAGGATGTTCTCTCATACAGTACAAAGGAGAACAAGTCTTCAAACGCTGGTGGGGCTCCCGCTGACCAATGGAGTCCCGTGGCATAATAGTTAGCTCACCTAGCAAGCAAGAGGACCCGGTTCGATTCTCGGGTGGGGCAAAACCTTAGGCAAGTTTCCTTACTCCACACACCTCTGTTTGCCTAACGGTAAGTAGGAACCTGATTGTTAGTCGATTGGCGGAATGCTTTCCGGGGGTAAGATTCACTTCAAAATAAAAAATAATTTGATCACTCAATCCATGAATGTTTGTGGAACACTGCTATGGCAATTGGCAGCTGCGTTTCACCCATGAAATACACAGTCAATCCACTTTACAGTGTATATTGTATTGTATATCCTGTGAAGCGTTGAACAACAAATTGCATTTATAAACCACTTGTCACATCAGGAGGATGACCCAAGGCGCTGTACAGTGAGGGGTTTGCACTCGAGCTGAGGGTTGGGATCAGAGAGGGGTGGAGTGTGAGGGGGGTGGGGTGGAGAGTGAGGGGGCAGGGGGTAGAGGGTGAAGGGGGGTGGAGGTTGGAAGAATACCAAAGGTCTTGAGACGAGCATTGACAAGCCCTCAGTTGGTGGGGCATCCCTAGCAGGATAGAACGAAAACTGAAATGGAAGTTTGCTTCCCACATTGTTAACCTCAGCTCTTCTAAGGTCTTCCTCCCAGATGCATGGGATCAGCACCCGGTCATGTGGTTAGTGATTGATCACTTTGTCAGGTTATTTCTGCCTTCTTAGGAGTGAAACTGGTTGGGAGATCAATGCAGTCGGAGCGAGCCAGTGGGGGAGGGGAGAGGAGAGAGCACATGATTAATAACCAGCTCATTATGTGATTGGTTGACTTTCCGAGTTAACCATGACCCAAGTCCCCTTGACCCAACCCGTTCCATTTCCCAACAGTGACCTCCCCAACCCCAATAAACACTAGTGAAACTGACCCGTGCTAGTATGCCCCTGTGTCGTAACATACAGTATTTATAATAATAATCCTTGCACTTAATCACATCTCAAAATATCTCTAAGCGCTTTACAGTCCTTTCCTGTAAAGTGTAGTGACTGTGTATTTTGTAGGCGAAACACAACAGCCAATTTGCGCACAACAATGTCACAAAGAGTCATGAAGTGACTAATTTTGTATCTGGGGGAATGTTGCCCAGGACACCAGGAAAAACTCCCTTCTATTTTCGAATACACCATAAGATCTTTAACATCCACCTGAACAGGCAGATGAGGTCTTGGTTTAACGTCCAATCCGAAGGACGGCACCTCTGACAATGCAACATACCCCAGCACCGCACTGGAGTGTCAGCCTGGACTGTGAGCTCAAAGTCCTAACGTGGGGCTTGAAACCACAACCTTCTGACGCAGAAGCGAGCGTGCTTATGATATCTACATGGTTGAAGTGGATCCTTGCTATCACATAACATACAGTGACTTCACTTTACAGTATATTCTGTGAAGCACTTTGAGATGTCTGAAAGATGTGATAAGGTGCTATATCAAATATATATGTGATAAAGGATATTTTTATATATATATAAAGGATATTAGAAAGATATTATAAATGTAAAGATGTTATTATATCTGCCAGGTTTGGAGGGGGCAGGGGAGGGGGAGGGGGGGGGGCTGTGGAAGGAAGAGGAGAGAGGGGAGAGGATTTGGAGTGTGATTTTTGGCACTGTCACATTATGATCTGACTTTACAAACCTCCCTGTTTAACATGGTCCTGTTTTTTTTTACCACTTTAAAGATCCGGCTGTCAATGCCCATCAGCTGACGTCAGCCCAGGGGTTGGGAGCTGTTAAATGCGCTTAGTCTAAATGATCAGCTTCGCTCTAACGCGCAGAGGAGAAGCAGCCATCAGGTACACACCCAGTGCTGCAAACTTTCATTTGATTTCCACCTCTCGCTTCGTCATTTTCTTTTTGCTGAACAAAAATGAAGCTACGCAGACGGTCAGAGTGTGTTCTGTGTGCAGAAATGTGGCAGGATTTTGCAAACAGACAGACACAGACAGACAGACAGACAGACACTGTGTGTATATGTGTGTGTGTGTGTGTATGTGGGTCTGTGAGAGTGACAGAGAGGACTTAATGCAAAGTGAGTGAGAGATTTGGGTTGTTTTAAAGGGGGTTAATAACTTTCTTTAACGGGTTATAAACCCACAAACACAGTTCTTAGAGGGATTTGGAAGATGCAATAAAAGAGGAAAAGCAGATATGTTGCAATCTTGTTTAACCCCTTATCTCACTGCTGGGTTTTGCAACCTATTTTGAAATACTGCATGCTGTATTTTCACAAGGAGCAAAGGATTAGTCTTTTGAAACTTTATTAGTGAGATGCTGTCTATGAAAGTAAATCAACTGATCACATTTTAATTGTTAAAATAATAACAATTATAATAATCCTTGCATTTGATACAGAGCCTTATCATGTCATTGAGAAGTTTCAAAGTGCTTCACAGGATATACTGTAAAACGGATTGACTGTCTATTTTGTGGGTGAAATTCTTAAAATAATAATAATCCCTGTATTTGACATAGCGTCTCACCACATTGTCGAGCCGTCTCAAAGCGCTTCGCAGAATATATTGTAAAGTGGATTGACTGTTTTGTTAACATAAACTTTGATGGTTTTGCAGTTTTCATGTTCTGTATTTCATTTTTTTTGGTACATTATTTTTTTTGCCAGGAGGGTGTGTGTGTCGGGGGAAACAGCATGAACACTTTTCTTGGGTCAGTCCTTTTAAATGGTCTGAAATGCTTGGTGTATTATAATCCTTCTTGAATTCACAACTTATCTCAAAAAAGGAATTGCACTTTGAGCAGAGAAGAAAAAGTTAGCAACTTGCCTTGTTGTACCTTATAACTTTTTTTTATATGTGGGTTTATACAGGGTGACCAAAAAGTCATGATACCATTACAATGTCTAATAAGTCTCAAGGAAATGTAATATTTTTTAAGCTAATAAGGTAGATATTATGACTTTTTGCACACCCCGTGCATTGGCATTATTTAACCAGTCTGTTTTTTTATTAGATTTTATAAAAATATTAATGCTTAGCTGATTACTAACCAGTTAATCTTCATTTTACAGAATTATGTGTGTGTTTGTTTGTTTCTCATTTTGGAGGCTGAAATCATCAAATCAACAGATCTGTTGAAATCTAAAAATCTAATTGCACTGAATTCAGATGCGTATCATTTTCAACATGCATTATTTGAATGCCTTTTTTTAAAAAAATGAAATTAAAAAAATGTTTTAAAGGGGTTCTGAAATAAAAATTGATGTGCCTATATTTGTGGTGTGACTCACACAGGCTTGGCATTTAGGCGGCGTTCTGTTACACACCTTATATGGACCCTATTCGTGCTGTGATATCTGCACCTGCATGATTCCTTGTTGCTATTCTTAGTCCCACTTGATTCTATAATGCACTTAAGACATTAAATTAAGATGTTTTCATTTTTTTTAACAAAAAATCATCTTCATACTTTAAATGAGAAGTTAAACCCAGGTCCCGTCTGTGTCTGTTCCATGGCACTCTTCGAAAAGAGAATGGAGTTTTTCTCTCCTGATGTCCTGGCCAACAATCCCCCAAATAAGATTAGTTGCTCACTGACTGTTTGTTGGACGCTGCTGTGCAAAACCGGCTGCTGAGTTTCACCTACAAAATATGCAGTCACTTTACAGTATATCTTGTGAAGTGCTTTGAGACAACTTGATGATGTGATAAGGCACTATATCAAATGCAAGGATTATTATTATTATCTTCATTAACCTGTTTCATTTCCTCTTCCTTTCTCCTTCTCCTCAGCCCTTTTCTTTCTTAGTGGTGTTGGCATCTGATGTAAGAGAGCGAGATGTCTACATACTCCGTGTCTCTGACCGGTCCTGCTCCGTGGGGCTTCAGACTGCAAGGAGGAAAGGATTTCAACATGCCTCTGACTATCTCCAGAGTAAGTGGGGTGTCTTGACAGGGTGGGGTATGTGTGTGGTGGAAATCTTTTCTTTTGTACAACAACAACTTGCTTTCATAGAGCGTCCTTTTCTTGGAGCAGCATCTAGGAGCGCATAACTGTGACGGAGCCTGATGCTGAGTCGGGGGGTGGTGATCGTAACCACGGTTCAAGACAAAGATCTTGAGATGTGATCTGACGATGGAGGGGGCATGGCGGAGGGATTTAAGCACTCTGGGATGCTATACTAAAGCAAATTGTTGTTGTTGAGGGATAGATTTCCAGAGGTCAGGGCATCATAGCCACATGAAATATTAGATGTGTGAGCTCCGCTCACGTTTGTGATCTGGATACAGGTCAGTTCCCCAGCTCTGATTTCAGATCTGCTCCCCTCCAACCATTTTGATATGCTCCCCTCCAACCATCCATTTCATTGTGGAATTTTACACAGCCCCATGTATCAATGTGTTTTCCATATTCCCCACAAGCTCCAACTTATTTGGAGTTAAAATTAGGTTTGCAACCCATTTATTCCCCACTTTAGTGTGTCAGCCTGGCTCAGTGGTAGCACTCTAGCCTCTGAGTCAGAAGGTTATGGGTTTGAGCAACACGTCGGGACTTGGAATCACATCGTCTAAACTGATACTCTAGTGCAGTGCTGTCCTTCAGTTGAGACATTAAACCGAGCTCCCATCTGCCTGTTCAGGTGGATGTTAAAAATTCCATGGCACTATTTGAAAAGAGGAGGGAGTTTCTCCCTCCTGTACGGCACCCTGGCCAACAATCCCCGCAAATAAAAATTTGCATCACTCACTTCATGACTGTTTGTGGGATATTGCTGTGCTCGAACTGGCTGCCGTGCTTCTCCCAAAAAATACACAGTCACGACACTTTAGAGCATCTACTGTGAAGCGCTTTGAGACATCTCAATGGTGTGATGAGGCGTTATACTAAATGGATTGTTTTTGTATCAGGAGGCCGTATCAAAGTGCTTCACAGGATATACAACTGTGTTTCATTGGTGAAAGATTTTTGCTAGCCTGGTTCTGAATAGGTACCTCTCCACAGGATCTAACAAGGCCAGGTCTGTAGGTGCTGACCCTGAATTGGAGTTCAGTACGGAGGGAGACCAGTATGAGTCTGCTCACTGGTGTTATCTACACTACTCCCAATTCCCTGCTCCTTCTTCATGCCCTTTTATGTTCTTTCCCTTTGAAATATTTTATCAAACATTCACATGATCTTAGCTTCAATTAGAACTGATGTCAGGAAGCATTTCTTCACACACACAGTTCTGAAGGGTGTGGAATGCTCTTTGCCAGAAAGGTAGAGACTGAATCAATAGGGATGTTTAAGAGAGAAATACCTGGACAGTAGAGAAATTGTTATAGTGAAAAGGTGAGTCATTAGGATTTAAAGATTAGCCAAGATCTAATAACATCATTATTGTGTTATTGGATTCCTTGGCACAATTGTAGGAATATAGGAAAACCTGTCCTTCGGATGAGACGTTAAATCCAGGTCCCGTTTGCCTGCTCAGCTGGATGTTAAAGATCCCTTGGCACCATTGGAAAAGAGAAGGAAATTTCTCTCTCCTGGTGTCCTGGCCAACGATCCCCCCAAATAAGATTGATCACACACTCCATGGCGATCTGTGGGATATTGCTGTGGCCAACTGGCTTCCGTGTTTTGCCTACAAAATACACAGTATATTCTGTGAAGCGCTTTGAGACATTTCAGTGACATAAGGCGCAATGTCAAATGCAACGATTATTATAATAACCTCCCTTTCCCCTCAGTTCCTCACAGGTTTACGCCACAATGTCACATTGGGCAATAAGGGATACGCATTTCATACTGGGATTAGGGAAAGAGAAGGACAAGCTTTATCCTACACCTGACATGTGATATAGTGGACTTAGGATATAATATTCAGTAACTAGATGCAACGCATTTGCAAATGTTCCCTTCCTCCCAACTGAAAAGCACTAAAGACTACAGTGTTTTGATGCACAATGTGCTCTGTACCTCACCAGTGTCTATACCAATGATATTCTTGATCCAAATTGGTGTCTTACATTGTTGACCAAGGCACAAGTTGAGAGTTAAGCAGGGCATGTTCATTGTCAGGTCAGGTTGGTTCTACATCTCCAGTGATAGCTTGAAAAAACTCTCATTATGAAATGCAACAAGTGTGGAAACTTCAAAGTTTTGTCCATTGTGTTAGACATCACAGCCAATGGAGTCATGTACGGTAGTGGTTAGCGCACGCGCCTCGCAAGCGAGAGGATCTGGGTTCAATTCCTGGGTGGGGCGAAACCTTAGGCAAATTTCCTTACTCAATTTTACAGTATATTCTATGAAGCGCATTGAGATGTCTCAAAGACGTGATAAGGCGCTATATCAAATGCAATGATTATCAAACTTGGTTGTTGGATTATTGGTGGATCACTTTATCCCTCAAAAAAAAATGTGGTCACTAAATCCACGACTGTTGTGGGACACTACTGTGCACAATTGGCTGCTGCGTTTCGCCCACAAATTAATCCATAATCCATTTATATTATATCCTGTGAAGCTCTTTGAGACATCTCAACGATGTGATAAGGCAGTGTATCAAATGCAAGGATTATTATTTATTGATTTAGCTGCAATGATGATCCTTGTCCGCTTTGTTCAGGTTTGAACTCTTTTCCCTTCTGAAAGCCATGAGCTCTCTGTCTCCACCACCAGCCATTGTCCCATTTAAAAATGATCCTAACTTGTAGCCAGTGAGTGAAACTTTAAAGCTTTCCACCTTGGCTTTGTCGCACCAAAACCACTGGTGTTCATGTAATTTCATTTCCTCACAGAGTAGACTCTCTGAGCCTGCTGTGCAAAATTGGTGCAAACTTTACAGAAAGTCCTGTGAAGTGCTTTGAGATTTTCAAGATTAAGGGTCAACCCCTACACAACTGGCCGCAATGTGTCAGCCTTGCGCAGTGGTAGCATTCTTTCCTCTGAGTCAGAAGGTTGGTCACTTGCTTCATGGCTGTTTGTGGGGCATTGCTGCGTGCAACTGGCTGCTGCGTTTCTCTCACAACATACAGTCAATCCACTTCACAGTCTACCCTGTGAAGTGATTTGAGACATCTTGATGACATGAAAGGCGCTATAATAAATGAAAGGATTATTATTATTTGATACTGTGGAGCCTGTCTTATTGAGAACCTGTCTTAACACTGCCCCACTGTTTACACACAGCAGAGATTAAGCTTTGAATACTGACCTTTTAAGGCAGTGGATTTGGTAGGGCCCTCATGAATAAAACTAAGAACTGCTTATTTTTGTTGAATTATTTGGTATTGTGCCCTTTTAAGAGAATGCTTCGCAAATAAGCTCTAGCTGTCTGTTGCTAACTCAGGAAGATGAGCTGTTGCTGACATGAGCTTTCGTGTCCTGAGCCCTTTCTGAAAGAATGAGCTTGGTTTGTAACTGACTCCAGTCCCAGTGGTATCAACCACTTGGGATACAGCCAGCATTGACCCGATTGCAACTCAATGAGCCAACTGGCTCTTCTGAGTGTTCGGGAACGCACTTTTTAACTGATCGGTATCCTGGACAACAATCCCCCAAATAATATTGGTTATATTTAGCTTATTTCATGGCTTTGGGATATTGCTGTCCAAATTGGCTGCCTCATTCACTTACAAATTCAGTTACGCCACTTCACAGTACTGTATTATCCTGTGAAACGCTTTGAGACTTCCTCCCGATATGAGAGGCACTATACCAAATGCAAGAAATTAGTCGTACAGTGAATCCAGTGAAGCACTTGGAGACAACTCGACAACCCCATCTGAAACTGTATCAAATTGAAGGATTATTATTATGCTCACTAGTTTTAATAATAATAATAATAATAATAATCATCGATTATTGAAGTTGCAATGAATGTGTTTGAAAGAAACCAGTCTGAGGAATATGAGGACTTTGAGATGAGTGGTGTGAAGATGGCCCCATTCTCCTACTCAGCTTTTGTTTCTGTTTGAAGAGGTTGTCAATTGCATTAGCCAGTACGCACAGTTGCAGGAATATTCAACAGTAACAAAATGACAAAAACCTAGATCTTTAACATTCCCCTGAACAGACAGAAGGGCCTCAGTTTAATGCCCTGTCCAAAGGAAGACACCTTTAATGATGCAATGCACCCCAAGTGCTGAACTGCAATGTCATCTGGTCTGTGAGCTCAAAGTCCTGACATGAGGTTTGAACCCAAAACCTTATGACTTGGAGGTGAGAATGAGTCCAACTAAGCAAGACTGACACCTGAAAACAACAACTCAACTTGCGTTTATATAGCACTGGTCGTGTTGGGTATCATCTTAGAGTGCGATATAAGTTTGGGGTTGGACAGGTGAGCAAGTGAGTAGAAGGGTGGAATTAACCATAGACAGTGTTTGGGTGGGATTTCAAGACAGATAGAGAGGGGAGCAGACAGAGGGGTAGAGGGAGTTACACAGGTTAGGAGTGTAATATTCAGGCCTTAACAACTGATGGTGGTGCGAAGGAGGCAGAGGATATACAATAAGCTTCATTTAACTGAGGGGAGGGCGTGAGCAACAGGAAAGGAGAGGATCAAAGAGATGGAGAGGTGATGGGGTGTAAAGGGATTTACAGGCGCGGGGGGTCCTTGAAATCGATCCGCTGGGACTCAGGGAGATGGTAGAACTTGGAGAGGATTGAGATGCTGGTTTTATGGGTGAGGATGTGGGCAGGAGAGATTTGGATAAGTTGGAGCTTATGAATTGTGGAATTATTTGGATGGGGATTTCTGAGGAGCCACAGTGCAAGTTATAATAATAGTAGCATTTGATATAGCACCTTATCATGTCATTGAGATGTCTCAAAGCGCTTCACAGGATATGCTGTAAAGTGAATTGACTGTATTTTGTGGGGGAAACCCGGCAGCCAATTGCACACAGCAGTGTCCCACAAACAGTCATGAATTAAGTGACAAT